GCGTGCGTGCGCGGGCGTGCGTGCGTGCGTGCGTGCGCGCGTTCTTTGTCAATCCCTATTGCTGTGCGATATTCCTCACATTTGCATGCAAACCTATCAGACATCTATACAGCTATACAGACTTGAATGATGTCAATATGGGTGCACCGAGACACACTGACACATCGACTGTAAGTGTGACTATTGACTATTGGAGTGCTGGTGGAAGAGCAGGGGCTAGCAGTGTGGTCTTACACTATTCGGCGGGGACGAGCTTACACCTACAGACACTCGTGCTATGCATGTATGTAGAGTACGCACAATATCGGGATATATCGGGCTACATATTACCCCTCGATCAGAGTGTGTGACGGACACTCAGTTTTGTGCGGGTCGTTCGGCAGTGCCGACAAGTCTCTTGAGTGATAGCCCTCGCGACTAAGTCAACCAGAGGCAGCACCTGGACCTGGCGTCGTGACCACTTACTATTTGTCCAACAACGGCGGCCTGTACGATAAGCGTCTGGGCAGATCATGAGATCTTGCCGGCTCCGATAGGGCCGAAACGGACTTTGAGGCACGTTGATTGTTCAACAGCATTTTTGCCACGGCTGTGGGGGTGACCTTTGCTTTCACCACATACTGAGGACGAAGACACATCCGTGGGTTGAGCTCGACTTTGAAATCATGGGCAACATGGCAGGCCCCCACCCAGAACTTTCGGCAGATTGAAGCCGGTCGCGAATCCTAGAAAGACTGAACGTGCCAAGATGGGAAGAACACTGTCCCGGTACAGGTCCTGGTGGTCAGTCTCGCATTTGGACCAACATGTTTACCGGCATCGCCGTCGAGCACAATCAATGGATTATCGTGCCTTTCGACGTGACGCAGGACTACCACGAGTATGGGTTGCCCGGCACTTCTACCCACAAAGGAGCAGTCGCAGTCGTAGTGGATGGTCTGCAGCTGGTGTCCACGTCGACAAGTGCGCACACTTAGGTTTGACCTGGGGGACAACTCCATCTCTTTCAAGGTAGATGGTGTTGCGTACCGCACCACTGACATCCAGAATTATGACGATGTCAGATCATCTATTTGGTCAACAAGCTTTCAGGAGTTTGTTTCAGACTCTCGCCTGATTCAGCCGTGGTTCAGTGATGATATTGAGAAAAACGGTTCTCCGGTGCTTGTCAGCTAGGATACTGTGCACCGTCCATCACCGTCCCCAGTGTCGAGTGGCGAGCGTGTGGCAAGGCAGTTGCCACTCCAGTTCAGGGCTGTGACTGACCGAGAATGGTCGTCCCAGTCACAGGGTCAGTGACACGATATGTGGTTTCCAACCCGCCCAATCCAATGGAACATGGCCCGTAGCAGTGTGGGACAGTTCCGGGCCCTGTTCTGCTAAGGTGTGGGGACAATCCTCGCAAGATCCCGGAGAGGGCGTTCCAGACTTCCAAAACGCCATGGGCCTGTTGGATGCGAACCCCTACGGCTTCCCGCGTTATGCTGAGGTCATCATGTAAAGAGCTGCGGTGTTGCACGAGACAACCCGCACTTGCATGGCCAACAGTTCTAAACAGACAGTGAGTGTTGCTTAGCCCGGGGCCGTTGGCACGGAACGTGCTTAAGCCGGGATGTTACCGCATGCGGGGTACGGCATGAGTGGATTTTGGATTGCACGATGCTCGCGCCAAATTTAGGACTGATCCCATCTCATTCCCGGACATGGGGCTCAACAGCGGCAAGGTCATGACAGCGAGTTGTCATTCCATCAAATTCTGCGGGCACGTGCTGCTGCATTGCCACCACAGCCACCTTAAGCACCCAGCGGTCCGCCGATGGAGAATTCACAGTGTGTACAGATCTCTTGCTTTGCGCATGTCAAACATGCATTGCATGTAGAAAGTCCAGGAGTTCTCGCCTGAGCTGCCACGCTCCTATTCGCGAAAGTGCAGAGAACACTTCCAGCGGCTACTGCTGTAGATCTGGTCTTGGATCTTCGTAATCAGTTTGTGAGGATAAACGATGTGTATTCCTGCGCCGGCATGGCAAAGCTGCGAGTACCTTCTGGAAGAGCACCCCACTTGCCAAAGAGCCATGGCTTCCTGTGATCACGCGTGAGTCTGAAACCTTGTGTCTGCCGCCTGTCCTGAATTTCTTTCGGCAGGAACGTGGCACGGCCAATCCAAGTGCAAGTGGTTGATCGTCGGTTCGTAAAGAGTTGCAGGCTCGCGCACAGGAGGAGTCATCACAAGCCATGCTGTCATACCCGCAGAACTTTTTCCGGAGCGGTGGGTCCCACCAGCCACTCCTTCAATGTTGCAGCATTGGATTATAGAAACACGTTCTTCGCTAGTGCTTCGGCATACGGTATACGTCATACTGACCTTTTGCCGTCTTATTTTGCCCACTCCCACTGATCCATAGTGGATGGTCACTGTAGCGATGGCAAATGGCAGTGGCTGGCTGCCCCGGCATACCACGCGCAAAAAAAACTGGTGCCAGAGAACGTCCCATCCCGAAGACAAATCGGCGACCTGTCTAAGATCACCTATGATCGGCAGCAGCCACGTTGCTAGAGCTAAAATCTGCCCCTGAGATTTTGAGCTTCTGCCTTGCCAGCACAGCGCCAGCCGAATTAATTTGCGAAGAGAGCGTGTGAGGACGAGTCAAACCACTCTCTCCTAGAGCCCATTGGTCCGGAAGGTTGCCCCAGGATGCTAGAACTCTTCAGACAGTATCAGGATGGCAGTCGCCAGTCTTTCGCAGGAACCCTCCCCACGGGTCCTATTGGTGCACCCGAAACACTTTGATGATGGGCTGTGTCTTCTTCGTTTTCCCATCAGGCCTAACCTCTCCCCAGCGTCGAGCACTATCACACTGAGCATTGTATAAGCCTCAGCATGAGTCAAAATGAAAACCAAGCAAGAGTGTACCCGATGAGTGCAGGGAGGTGCAAGTGGAAAGCCTGCGTCCTCATCCCGCTGCATGCAAACACAAGCACTACCGACCGGCCGAAAGAGCCCAGAGAAGTACGACGAAGTTGCACCTGATGAAAGAAAAGCCTCTGCAGTTTTTGCTGTGGTGACAGTTATGAGCAAGGGTCAATTGCCGCTAGTAGCTCGTGGAACGAGCACGGTTTGAGCTTGAACGAGTACATGGTTGGGACTGTAGGATGATCTGAGATCATCATGACAATGGCTGTTCTACAGTAGCTGTTTTCATCTGTATGGTCGTAGCCACACCTAGCAACTTAGAAGCCAACATGCACCAGCTCAGCCATGAGTTTGCGCAGCCGTCAGCATGTTGGACTCACCCGGGCACATCTCATGGAAATCTACAAGCTTCTAGCAAACTGAAGAGCTCAAGTGACGCAGCGCAAGCCCAACCATTGAAAGCGTGTATGAACAGGCATTTGCGCGACCGAAGCTCATCCAACACGCAGCTCAACCTAGGCCAGGACCTATCGGCGTTGATCCCTGCTTGCCGGATCTTGAAAAAAATTGCGCACACCTGCCTGAGACGAATTTGATCCGAGGAGTCGCAAGACGTTGCATGTGAAGCCGTTGAGTACTGGTAGCTCATGGCTTTTCATCGGAGTGGAAGGAGCAGAATGTAGAAGCCGCTCCGCATCTGACAATGAGACACAGCTTAATTTGGCACCATGCCTGGCCTTAGCCAGCTCTGGAGGTCGAAGCAGCTCTTCCAGGGCTTCTCAGCGCTGGGGCCTCATGGCTGCCGGCTGACTGGAGAGAGCTCCGGGTTCAAAAAAACTGAGAGAATCAGCAGCACTTGTAAATGAGCTTGTTGTTTGTCTTGGATGCTGTGATGCTAGGCCAGAGTGGCGCGACTGGGCCTGCAGCCAAGTCGAGTCTCCAGGTTAGTCGTGGCGGGCACATGGATTGCTTCAGCCGGCTGTGGATGCGTAGCCAGGGCTGAAAAGCTGAAGCCATTCGGTGGACAAGTGTTTGCTGATGGGGAAACCTGCAGATTCTCGAGGTCGCCGGGCCTGATGGTTCCAGGTGGTGTGAGAATAAGAGGCGTGTCTCCAAGCTTTGCTTTCTTACCTTCAGCCTGAAGGGGTCTCAGAAAGACGAACCATGGCTACGATTAGCGGCTTGCTCAGGTACGAGGCTGACCGAATCGTTGATTGGATGGCCCGCCAGCCAAGCAGCGGCACGGGATCCATGGGCAGGTGGTGCGACATGTAGCCGGGACCATCTGCTGTATTTTGAAGGTCTGCAACTGGGGACTGCAGACTCTTTGCCGAGGACCTCGGCATGTCTGAGCCGTAGGGCACCACCAACTAACGTTCCATCTGCAGTACATCATGTCTGCCCCGCAGTCAAATTTCAGATTCACATTGCGACTCAAGCACGTGAGGCGACGTGAGGACGTCTCAGCAGTGTTTTAGCGGAGCCCTGCATAGTCGATGATCCTGCATGCGCAGGAAGTGGTGTTTTAGATGCCCTGGCCTCGGCTGTGTTGCGCAACAGTCCCATTGTCTGCTGTGGCGGAGAAAGGTGGGCGGCGAGCCCGGCTTCCTGGCTTCAGCACTACTTGCGCGCGGCGTGGGGGTCACCGCTCGGGGCCGAGCCATCTCCGCTTTGGGGCTTTGAGCTCTGAAGTTTCCGTGGTTCAGGCATGTTCAGGCTTGGTTTCGAGGGGGCTGACTTCGGGCGTGAGCGTCCCACGCAGCGCAACAGTCCGTCATCAGGAGCTTGAGCCAGGATGTGAAACAGAAGGTCCCTCTTCCAAGGGTGCGCACTTCGGAAAAGCATGGGAGGTAGTGCGGCTTTGCTTTGGCAGAATTCTGTCATGATCTTCTCTTCCTATCTGCATTGCATAGATTGATTGACTATTTCCTCGCTCAGGTTGTCGATCCAACATGGAGGATCACGGGGAAGGACTTCCGATGAAGCCTTGTGATGCTTTCTCGAAAAACACGACACCTGTCTCGAAGCATGCACTTGTCACTCGAATGATACCGCAGTAGACCGAGGCATCTCTTGTGCATTCTGCCCCTCGTCCTTGCATGGAATCCCGTGTGAACATGACAGGTTAGGGCGGTTAGGGCGGCAAGCCGGAAAGCTGCAGCTTAATCAAAGCGGGCAGGCAAGCACGGAGATGCTTCTTCGTTGGCCTTCCGGCATCATGTCTAAAAACGTAGATGGCTAGAAGTCTTGAGCTGACATTCGGTGCGCAGGCCCACGCCTCCAATGACTGCACCTGGCTTCGGAAGAGGCGTTGTCCAGAGCAACACAACCACCATGCGATTAAGAGGAGTCCAAAGTCTTGTCGAAAATAAAGTTGGCAGCGCGCCCTTCGCGAACAGCAAGCATCGCATGCTGATGACCAGAATCACCACAGCCAGAACGTCTGCTGCTGCGGCTGCCCTTCTGCTCCGTTACTGCTACTGCTGTTTCTACGCTTGCTACTACTGCTTACTACTACTACTAC